ACATGGAAAACTTTGAGCGCTTTGAGCGACCTCCAAATACTTTTTGATTTCAAACTAAAAAAATATGGGTATACTTTTTCGATGTAGAACAATTCTAGGGGGTGAGAGCATTACAATTCAGACTTTACTGTTTTTGGACCACCCTAGTGCGCATATATGAGGTTTGATAGCTGTTGCCATTCGAAAAATGCCTCATTCTCAGTTTTACTAGAGCAATTTGTGTAAACTCCATGTCTGGATCTTCCTGCTGACACTTTCTTCCTTCCACTCTTTCGCTGGTGTTATTGCCGTTAGCCGGACGGCATAGCCCAATCGACTGGTAATAGTAGGCAACTACCTTCTCCTGCCCATCAATTACCTGCGACAGTACGCCTCCTATGGCATAAACACTAGCATCCGTATCGTAGTTTGTGCAGGTTCCTCGGTCTTTTTAGGACTTAGCTTCAGACCAGCGCCTGCTATCCTCTGGAAAATTTCTTCCAAATTGTTCAGGTGTTCCTCCAAGCTTTTACCCACTATGATATTGTCGTCTAGATACACCAAACAAGTTTACCAATGTAGTCCCTTAAGCACATGGTCCATAAGTCTTTCAAAAGTGGCAGGAGCGTTGCATAATATCACCGTGAATTGCCAAAGACCATCTTCAACGCTGATAGCTGTCTTCTCCTTGTCCTCGTCACTTACCTCCACTTGCCAATAACCGCTCTTAAGGTCGAGTGTTGAGATCCACTTTGTTCCAGTGAATGAGTCCAGAGTATCATCGATCCTGAGAAGTGGATAGCTGTCCTTCTTCGTCACATCATTTACTTTCCGGTAGTCTATGCAGAATCGCATTTGACCACCCTTCTTCTTCACAGGTACTACCGGCGAACTCCATGGACACGCTGTTGGTTCAATCACACCACAATCGCTAATTTCTTTTATGATCTGGCTTACACATCAAAAAGTGCGATAGCGATCCGAAAATTGTCAATAACCGGTTGCAGAATCTCCCCCCTGATGTCAGTGTTTGAGTGGACACCTTAGGCAATGTTTCGCGAATCTTATCATAAGGAATATCCCAAAATTGCGTTTGTGTATGATGTTTGCACTGTATTTACGGGATAATAGTAATGCATTATCTCCTTAAGAAACCATTTATTATATTTGAGTCTCAAATACACTCCCAAGGTTTGATCATTAAGTTTCTAAACATCCAGAACAATACAGTGTATTTTGCTTAGCTGCCCATCCTTCTTTGCACTAAAAATTTGTGCACTTGACCGAAAAAAGCAGTTAAGCAAATTTTCTTTACTACTTCAGTGAGGAAGATATCCGAATCCCTATGAAACCAAAAATTTGAGGAGCACTTACCACGTAGAAATTACTGCAAGTGACATTTTTACCGAAGTGTATCTAACTATCTAAATATTAATATATAAATTGATTGCCATTTTCCTTGTTCTGCGAGATGAGCAAAATAAATTAAAGCTTGTAAAATGAGGTAATTGTAGGGCCAGTGCAGATAACCGTGATACTTTTGTTGATAATTGATAATAGTTGCACAATTTTTAAGCCAGATATCGCTAA